TACACCTCAATATAAAGAAAACAAAAATCCTCACAACTGGACTAATAAGCAGCATCATGATAAATGGATAATTCAAAAATGGTCGTAGCAGTACAGTGACAGGGAGCTGCCAGAAATTCAAGCTAGATTCAGAAGAAGACATACAACGTGGGATGTAACTGTTGATGGATCTTGGCTAAAAGTGGAGAATCCCAGAAAGATGTCTACCTGTGTTTTGTTGACTATGCAAAGGCATCTGACTGTGTGGGTTATAACAAATTATGGATAACATTGTGAAGAACGGAAATTCTAGAGCATTTAATTGTGCTCATGAGGAACCTTTACACAGACCAAGAGACAGTCCGTTCAAACAGAACCTCACTGCCGTCGAGTTGATTTCGACTCATAGCGACCCCTCCTTGGGTTTCTGAGGCAGTGTCTCTACAGAAGTAGATTGCCCAACCTGCCTTCTGAGGAGTGGCTGGTGGGTTTGAACCACCAGTCTTCTCGTTAGCAGTCAAATGTCTTAGGCACTATACCACCAGAGCTCCCAAAAAGAGTGAAGTAAGCTTTATAATGACATGGGAGAGAGGTGCCGAGAAGTACTTTGCCACGCATGTGTATGTCCAAAGGAGCTCTGGTGGTGTAGTGCCTAAGGCATTGGACTGCTAACCAGAAGGTCGGAGGTTCAAACCCACCAGGCATGCCATGGAAGGAAGACAGGGCAATCCACTTCGTAAAGATTTACCACCTTGGAAACCCAAACGGGGTCACTATGAGTCAGAATTGACTCGATGCCGTAAGTTTGGTTTGGTTTTTATATATGTCCATATCTATATGCATATAAATTTTCTGGAAGTTTACACAAGGAAACTGGTAACAGTGATTATGTTTAGGGAATGAGAAAAGAGGTCAGGGGAGGGAGAAGGGACATTTTCCTATTATTTTAAACCCTTCTTTGCCATCTTACTTTTGATCATGTGCACACATATCTCTTATAGTGATGATGATGATGATGATGATGATGATGATGATGATAAACTCAAACCCACTGCCACTGAGTTGATTCCAACTCATAATGAGCCTGCAGGACAGAGTACAACTGCCCCCATAGAGTTTCCAAGGCTGTAAACCGTTACAGAAGCAGACTGCCTCACCTTTCTACTGTGGGGTGGCTGGTGGGTTCGAACCACTGGCTGTTTTGGTTAGTAGCCGAATGCTTTAGCCACTGTGCCACTCGAGCTCCTTAATAATAATAAGAAGAAAAGTGCTGCATCCCGATGGGGCTTCCTTCACAAACTCTATCCCTATTTTCTCATCCAAGCATTGCAAGGGTTATGGTTAGGTGCCACCGAGTCGGCTCTGACTCACAGCAACGCGACGTGCAACAGAACGAAACACAGCCCAGTCCTGCGCCGGCCTCCCAATCCTTGCTGTATTTGGGCCCATCGTTGCAGCCACTCATTGAGGGTCTTCCCCTTTTTCACT